GTCTATTCAGTTCATATCGATGGTAGTAGCGCAGGTTAGTAGCGGGGAAGAAGTCTTACCTGTCTCCTTTCCATATCGTCGTTGTAGCTAGTTGATGCCTTTCGACCACGCTCCCTAGCGGCAAACCCGCCGAGATCACCGCAATCTAGACACCTCACCGGATCATTCAATTGGTAGGAGCGACGTCGGCGTGTACAAAGGCGAGGGACGCAATCAGCGCGTTTTACTAGGCATTCTTTGTTCAAGATCGATAACTACGACAGTCTATCCATATCAATAACTAAAATATAAAAATCAATAATAATAGTAGAGATAATAACAATATTAGTAATAACAGTAATAAGTCATAATAGATGTATTCTAACTACCTTTATAGTCAGATACAGTCGTATTGGACTTTTCCACGATGGTGACAGTGATGATCACCAACTAACAAGAATCTCTCTCTCTCTTTCTTCGTCATGCATGTTCGGTGGCGTTTTCATGTGTCCAGATCGTGGCAACAGGAGCCCGAGGCGCGAAATATATATACGTTTCTCTCTCTTTTAATCTCTTTCTCATCTCCTTCTCGATCTCTCCTCCCCTTCTCAATCTTTCTTCTTACGCGATCTCTCCTCCCCTTCCCAATCTCTCTTCTTACTCGATCTCTCCCCCTTTTCTCAGTTTCCCCTCTCTCTTATACAGTAAAGGTGCATACCAGATCAAAAGCCGATCTCTCATGCACAGTATGAGATAGCATAGTGGGAGACTTGGATACCAATGATCCGAACTATCAATGTTGCGATGCAGCCTCGAACACACATTATCATCATTATTCCACGGTGTAAAGGGGTCTGGCGTCTTACACAGGAAGACTGCGCCAGCCCTGACCATACCAGACGAAGAAGAGGGGAAGATGGAATTTTCATCGACATCATCTCTTCGGCACAACCCCAAATAGTCCCTCGTCAAAATGTTTGAATTCCCTTGTCTAGTCTGGATCCAATGTCGTCAAATCTCAAGTCACAACTCCCTTTTTCTCTCGTCGTAGTCTATCGATACTGAGAAGTCAGGCGATGAGAGGTGAGATGAAGAAGGTGGACTGAGAAGAGGAAGAAGAAGAACTCGATCTCTCTTTCTGCCTCACACACCTTGTACTTCTTCCGTTCACACATACACATACACGTCCACACTCTTACTATGGAGGGCATGAATAAGAACGGAATGAATCTTCCCCTTAAATGTGGAAGCATTTATTCGATTTTATTTATTTATTTGTTTATTTTATTGATGGAAGCACCGGGATTGGTCGCGACTTACCCGTTCTTCCTCTCGCTTCCCGTCGTCGTCGAGTCACCGTTGGAGCCGTTGGCTTTAGCAGCCATCTTCATCGTTGTTACTGTTATTTTCGGCAACCCGTCGTCGTCGTTTGACCAGGTGAGCCTTTCCCTTCCACTTCTTCTCACCTTCTCCCCCCTCCTTCTCCTCTTTTCTCTCCTTCTATCTTTCTCTTCTCCTTCTCTCTCACGTGCGACCACCTTCTCCTTCCTTCACTTTCCCCACCCTTCTCTCTCGTGGTTCTTCTCTCCTTACACGTTTGTCTTTCCCGGCTTCCTCGTGTTCCACCGCCTCTCAGCGTTCTCCCTAGCTCTCGCGCGGCCGATTCCTGATCTTGCCTCTGCGAGATCTCGCGGTGGCTCGCTCTCTCTCCTACGAAGGGACCCCTGCGCTATAGATAGATGCGGTACGGTAGGGATGGCCAGACCCCTTTCCCCTCTTCGGATGAATCATCCCAGTTTTTGGGTATAGTTTCACTCGCACGAATCAGGGAAGTAGAAGTTACGGGCAAAACGAGAAAATGAATAATAACTAATAAAACAAAAAGAAACGAATCTAACCCCCTAAATAAAATAAATTAATAAGAAAGAAAAGAAATGAACGAATCTAACAAGGGTTACCATTAACTGTCAAGGGCAGTATCTCGTTCCAACGAGGCAACTACCGCTACTACTTCTTGATAGAGGTCGCGGGTTCGAGTCACAACCTTTCAAACCTAGGCAAAACGAAAAGTAGAGCTCCCTGTCAAAAAGGGAGCTAGCTCGGAGGGCGGCGGGCCTTGATCCCCAGATCCCCCGCATATCAATTATGTACTGAAACCTATAGAGCTAGCTCCCACTTCGAGTAGAAAAGGAGTAGTTCTAGTATATATAAAGTAACGGCGCTCAGTCCAACCAATGGCCTGAGCCCATTCTAGCCCGTGCTAACGTGCACGCTTGCTAATCTGCGTGCCTATCTGAATGCATGTTGCCTTGAGCACGGGCGTGACCCGTAAGGCACGTACTTTTATCGGAAGGCCCGAAGGGCCGGTACTTAACCGTGGCTGCGGCATTAAGGGTCGCAGCGGGGTAATCACCCAAGTGGCGGGTAGGCAGGTACTACACCAAGTACAGGTAATGTGGCGGGTACTTGACTCGGAGGCAGGAAGTTGAAAATTTTTAAACCCCTAGTACCAGTAGACAGATAGGTCCCAGACCAAGTCCCAGTGCATGTCGTAGATCTACCTGACACAATATTAACCCAACTGACCCTTCGACCTCTTCTGTCAAGGGGTATCATTACTGAACCTAATCATCACGGCGCGCGTTATAGTAACGCGCGCACACACTTAACGAAATTTCTCACCGATTCTTGCCCCGGCCTTAGTGGCCGAGGATTTTGCTTCCAGTGTCACGCCAAGCGTGCATACCCTTCTCGTTCCAGACCAGCTACGTCATGGTAGCTGATGCCGCCACCGTGCCGAATGCAAAGACATGGCAAGATACCCTTGTAAGGGTATTTTGTCCGACAGTATTCCAGACCTCATTAAGTGACGTCCCCGTCGCTCGAAAAACTATATGCAAATAAAGGTGTTTTCCGACAAGCAAATCGTCAAATCCGAATCCTGGAATGAAATGTGGTTTCAGGATTGACGCCGTCACCTTACTTTTCATTATTACTGCCGGGATCTTAACCCGGGTCTCCCACATAAAATATAATGACTGGAAGTGGGGATACTTGATCTGTACTACAATACATGAAATAGTTAAGTATGACAACGCACCTTTCCTTCCCCCACACCCTTAGTCTTTGATCCAGGTATTCGTTGGTTGTTTTCAGGGTCGGTGTCCGCGTGCGAACTCAACCCGTCAAACGCGGGTCTTAACCGAGACCTTGGTTGTTCAACTCTCGATATTACAATCCAAAGGTGTCTGTCGACCGGCCCGAAGCCTAATACAGGAGGACAACGGTCTCCATCCTGACCCACCACAGTCCTGCTGATCAGGCTGGAGCTGCGGCCCACCGCATTGTTGCTTATCGGCGATTACCCTCATTGGTTGCGCAACGATGGGATATTCATCCTATCTTTAAAATTTTCTAATCTCGACCCCTTCGACATCCACCTGAATAGATCCCTTCATTGGGGAGGTTTCCCCTCTAGTTTCTCTTCGAGGCCATAGTCGAAGGGTCCGCTCCCTGGTTATGCTAGGTCAGCAGCCCACGCTGGGAGTTACGTCCCAACGATGTCAATTTTTCACCATAGGCTTGGTAATTTATGCCCTCAGGTTAACCCTTGGGGTGGATGAACGATGTTTTTTAAATAAACCAAATAAAGAAGATAATAAATTGAGCATTCGTCAAGCTACCACTAAGGGTTGTGCCCTCCAAGTCTTTGATCATAGCTCGGTGAGGCACGCACCTCGGGGTCATTTTGTATATATATAACCATTATTTATATATACATATATATATAACCATTATTTTTAAAATAAACTTTTATGGACTCTTTGCTTGTCAGAATCCACAAAAATAAAACATCACTTTCATAGAGATTGCCAAAGAATTTCTGCAACAGAATTGATAAGACTCAAAGGAGTCTCCCCATGTCGTAGCATGGTCTCAAACAAGAAATGTACAATCAATCCAGCTTTTGAAGCTTCACAACTCATCAAGCTTTTACATGAAATACAGATCCGCCCATTCCTCTATCACCTCTTTAGATCTCAACAGAGTCTTAGTAGTGATAGACGAAGGGAGATTTTAGGTTACCAGAGACTCAACCAAAGACAAAGGTCCACACACAATGTGACAAGTGCGTCGTGTCCACCAGCTCATCCCCCTGAATGATATATATAAATACAAGTATGTTACAGAGTCAGATCACCACTCCACTCTACTATCCCTCAAATACCTCTCATGTCATTTCCTATACTACTTCCTATGCTAAGTCTCCTCATCTGACTGAAGAAAAGCACGCAACTTGTCTCACTCCTGTTCTCATGTCCAACTTGCTCTAATTTACACCTTTCTCTCTCTCATAACTGTCTTTAAGCCAATTCAAGTCATAGTTTACTCAAAACATCTACCTATTCCTACCTAGAAATCAACTGGCAGTCCCAGTATCCTGTGAAGTGTTACCCTGCCTCCCTGAGGTATCTTGGGAATGGTCTGCCCTGTGCCGGCCACCAATCTCTTATGACTATCATATTTGGCTTTTTCTTCCTTGATATAAATTGCTAGAATGGAACACTCATCCCTGAGGTACCCTTCCTGAGTGCAGAAGAAACACCTCTGTCCAACCATGCTAGGCTTGATTCTCCTTATGTCTGGCTGGATTGAAGTCTCAGCCTGAATCCTCAGCCCCCTTTGGTGAACCCAACTTGGATTCCCTTTGCCTTTTGCCTTGTCCTGGTAGAGGCATAGCCACACTCTCACTTACTTCCTTTTCTGGTGCAGGAGACTCTTCTCTCTTCTTCTCAGTTTGTACCCTCTTCTCTTCACCCTTTTTTCTTCCCACCATCTTTGTGGCTTCCTTCTCTTTCCTCTGTTGGCTCAATCTGAATTTCTCCATTCCTTTCAATATCTCTCCCCACCTTTTCTCCCACTCTTGTTCCAACTTCTTCCTTTCTGAGATTTCATTGTCCAGGCCCAGCCCTAGCACACTGAACATAGAGCCCAGACCATCCATCCTTATTTTCATCCTTCCTATCGTGGCCGCTTCATTCTCCAATTTTCTATCGCTCATAGTCAGGGCGGCCCTTAATTGGCTCACTTCTTTCTGTAATTCCTCCTTCCCTTTCTTCAACCCCTTCATTTCCTCCCCCATCTCTTCCATATCTCTTATCACCTTTTCCACCTGGGCATCCCTCTTATATTTATTTCTTCTTATCCCACTTGCCTCTTCCCTTTTCTGTCTCCAATTGATCATTCTTCCTCAGTTCTCTTGACTTTGGGTGCCTTGCCTCCTCCCTGGACCTTCTTTCCCTCTCCAGCTTCCTTCACTCCTTCCTCCCTTTCACTCACCCTTTCTTGTACCTCTTTCCTTCCACTCTCAATTGCCCTTCTGTTTCCAAGTTTCTTCTTTCTTGGTACCATACTTGCCCCCATGTTTTTTTTCCTCCCTTCTGCTGCCTCCTCCTCTTCCTGTTCATCCCCCTCGGCCTGCTCAGATCCCTTGCTGCTGCTCTTGGGGGAGACCCTCGTCTTGTTCTTCAATCTCTTCAGAGGCACATTATCTTCTTCTTCATCTTCTGCCTCCTTCCCTTGTGGCTCAACCACCTCTCTTCCAATCCATAGCCCCTTCTCTTGCAGCCTTTCTTTTATTGTTTGATCTTGCCTGACCTGGGTGTAGGCTATCCACAATTCTGCTGTTATTCTCTTCCAGGTTCGGCTCCCTTCCACAATTCCTTTAACTTCCTCCTTTTCACTCTTTTCTGATCTTGCGATCAGTTGTTTCTTCCTTGCCTCCTTGGTCCACTCACCTCTCTCTGCGGCCAGCTGCAAGCTCTCGATAAAGTCCTCCAGATTGGTTTCATCAAACGTTAAGTCATCCTCCACATCGTCTCTTGGGAAGACCCTCATGTCCTTCCATAACCTCTCCTTGCATACTTTCCACCTCGTGCACCCTGCCACCACTCCTTCAATTCTCCTCTTGTACATTCCTGCCCCACTCACATTCGCAATCTTCTCCCCGTCACCATACTCTCTCCTGAATGCGTATTCTTCAAGGTCTCGCAAAAAAATTTGCAGGCTGTCTCCTTCCCCGTAAATGGGCAACTCCTCCAGGTTCCTTGAGACTCTCTGATCCCCCCTCTGCCCGCCCTTTCTCAAGGTAGGTCCAGAGGGCCCTGCCACTGCTCCTCTCTGCGCCATGGCCTCTTCTTTCCAGGGGTCACGCCTACACATAGAGAAAAAGCCAATGACAGGTACGAGCGTCAGATCATCATCAAGGCAATATTCCTTGTCAAACACAAGTTGACAATGCTCTCCTTATCAGGCACGCCATACACGCACATACTCATATATATATATATATATATATCATATATATATTTATATATATATATATATATACATATATATACACACATATCCCCACTTATACCCTTTTGCATCCATGTATGTACACATACACACACACACACACATATATATATATATATATATATGCATGTATGTATCCATATATGTATGAGCATAATCTTGGCCAGTTGGGTACATACCTGCACTGATATACATATGCATGCCTAAATACATTCCCAGTCTATCCAAGCTTTCGTATCGTAGCTGAGCTTACCTCTTCTCTGACTCGGAACTTCTTCAGTCTAGATCCTGAGACCCAGTCCTTCCTTGGAGTCTCATCCATCTCTTCTAGCTCATATGCCCCATGAAGTCCCTGCTTCCTGACTTTGAATGGTCCTACCCACCGTTTGTCCAACTTCCACAACCACTGCATTTCCAGAGAGGAATTGTAGAATAGTAATGTCTCGCCAACTTGTAGAGGTTCGAGTCTTACTCTAGGTAGCTTGTCCCACCTTTCCTTATCCTTTCCCCTGCTGTCTGCAACGTTCATGGCCGCTTCCTGCACCCTTTCTTCGGTGGCGCTGATCTGCCTTGCCCTTAGATCTAGCAGTTCCTCCAAAGTCAAGTTGTTCTCCAGGTCCTGTCTGCGCCAAGTTTTCAGGAAGCTTTCAATAAGAAATGTGGCGTGACGCCCATACCAGAGTGTTGCAGGTGCATATTCGGTTGTCCTCTTTACAGTGATGTTCCCCACAAAGAACACTGTTCTTAGGAACTTTGGGCAGAGGTTCGGCTTCCCACTGGTCCATTTGGCCAACAAGTTAGTAATTGTGTTATGGCCTCTCTCAACCGGTGCATTCGCTTATGGATGTGCCCGAGTCGTATAATTATTTGTGACCCCCAATTCCTTGAGCAGCTCCTTCACTTCCCCACACGTGAACTCAGACCCCCTGTCCATTGTAAACTCCAATACGAACGGATATCTGAGATAATACTATTTAATGCAATCTGTCAGCGTTGCCCCGATCTTGTTAGTGATCGCCCTGCCATCAACGAATCCAGTAAGGTTGTCCCTTGCGTCGAATATATAGTTATATCCTCCAAGACCTAGTGGCATAGCTAGTAGATCCAGGTGAACAACCGCCCCTACCTCCTTTATATATCTAGGATGCAGGGGTTCCTTGTACTTGATAGGCGATCGAATTTGACAGGGCACGCATGATTCACAGTATTTTCGTGTCATCTCAAACATTCCTTCCCTGTAGTAGAGCTCCATCGCCTTCTTATAAGTAGCTGCGAAACTCCGATGTCCTCCGACTATCCCATCATGCAACGCAGCTACTACGTCAATCTGGCGATTCCTTCCGCACACGACACGTCGTGGCGGCCCCCTCTTATCCCTGATGAACAAGTGGCCAACTCTTACCACATAGTGGTCTCTCATCCTGAGAGTCTTCTCACTCACTTCTCTCTCTCTTTTATCTCCTGAGAGGAGCAACCCCATTTCTAAATAGAACCCATCATACTCCTCTTCCCTGAATTCCTCCGAAATTTCTTCTTGTTCGAACTTTCTTTCCTTCTCTTCATCAAAATCGTAATCATCCCCAATAACTATCTCATCGGCCTTCACTATTCCTCTTTCATCATTCGCTTAGACTTGTAACAGTGAATTTGTCAGGTAGTACTCCCATCATGGCTACCTGTTCGTCAGTCTGTTGGACTCCTGCTTCGATCGTTCGCGGCTCATCCATTATCCTATAATTCTCTGCCAGAGCCAACTCCATCATCCATTCCGTATTTCTCTCGCCCCAAGAGTCCTCCTCCTCTAATGGTGTGAGTATCAGGGAAGGTTCTCTCATAAATTCGGGAGGCGGATGCCACATCGGATTTCCTCTCCTCATTTCCTTACCCTCGACAAACATGAACCAACAGTTTACGAGAGTTTGCATGTCTTCCCCTTCGTCCAAAAACCCGTCTACTGGAGGCGTTTCTTCATTGGATTCTTCCTGATTTCCCCACTCAATTCTGCTCATGCCATCCGCCCTGTTTTTGTTCCCAGGGATTCGTTCTAACTGGAAGTCGATCATCCAGATATAGATGAGCCATCTGGCTATGGTTGAATCTGAGGGCGAGAAATTCTTGAGCGAGTATACAAGTGCCGTAGGATCGATCCTGAGTACAAACCTCCTCCCAAAGAGGTAATGCCTAAAGATCCTTAGGCAATGCAGGACCGCCAAGGCTTCTCTTTTGAACTGCGAGTAGTTCCTTTCTGTTGAGTTTAGTGTTCGGCTTTCAAACCTCAGCGGTCTCTCCTTTCCTTCACTGTCTGCCTGGATCAGGATGTCTCCCAGGGCGGTTGGTCCAGCGTCAGTTTCAACTCTGAAGGGTCTTTCCATAGTCGCATCAAAGTCCGGTACCCCTAGTACCAGACCTCCCTCTCTGAACTCCTTCTTCAATTCTTCCACCACTTCCTCTTGATGGTTTCTCCATTCTCATTCCTGATCCTTCCGGACTATTTTGCTAACAAATCTTTCTATGAATCTCCTCCAGAACCTACAAGTACCAAAAAATCTTCGAACTTCTCCTACATTTCTGAAGGGAGTGGACCATTCCAGGATCTTGTTGGTCTTCTTCTTATCAGGGTGCCGACCATGCTCGTTGCAAATGTATCCTAAAATGGTTACCTCCTTTACGCAATGTCTCGACTTCACTCCACTGGCAGTGAGGTTGTAATCTTCTAGTAGAGATAAGACTTCTCTTAACCCTTGAACATGTTCCCACACAAACTTTCTTACCCCTGGAGCCACCTCTGACTCATCCTTCTCAATCGGGCCCTTAAATTCAAGATCATTTATGTACGGCTCGGTGATCTGAGGGTTGATTGGCTGCATAACCCTGATCATGCTTCGTTGCACCATGGCCACAGCATTGGTTCATCCTTGCGGTGCAACATTCGTATGGACCAGCCCCCTTGGCGTGTGCATCGCCGTGATCGGACGGTCTGCCGGATAGACGGAAAATTGATCGTATCCGGAGTAGAGGTCGATGAGGGACACAATCGACCTACCTGCACAAGCTTCTGACAACTGGTCGGCGTTAGGCAAACCTCTTGCATCCCTTACAGTTACCGCGTTTAGTCGTTGGAGGTCTTGCACCGATCTGAGTACCCCATTTGGCTTTACAAAACAGAACCAGGGAGAGGCATATGGTTCACTGGAGTACCCTGCCACATCTGTGCGAATCTTCCCATCTAGGTACTCTACCACCCTTCTGAGATCTTCGGGGTTGGGATACTTAGCTCCTCGGACATTCCATGGCTCATGAGGTACAGTATAAATGCGGATCATTTCTATCTTGTCCGCATCCAACCTCCCACGTTGATCATCGTTGAAGGCATATGCCCCATGTTTTTCGCGTATCAGTTCTTTCACCAAGTCCTCCTCTTGCCTTGTCAGAAAGCCAGGTTCCCCTATTAGCAATTCTTTCTCAGTCTCTTCGTCGATACGACAAGGCCCATTCTGGATGCCTTCCCTCATTCGCTGTATCAGTTCCCTTTCCTGATCATAATACACCCCTTCTTCTTGACTCACTAGAACTGGCACAGGGTGGCTTTTCTTATCTACCGTCTTGTACCTCCTTTTGGAGCCCTGCTTGAGCCTTCCCTTAAAAAATGCTGATCGGCAGCTTGAGCATTCGGTGCATGCGGCACTATCATCTGAGAAGAAGGAGGCGGTCTGTAAACGATATCGACCCTTCCCCCTTCCAGATCGTCTTGGATCCTTTCTGCGAGTGCCCTGACTGCGTCAGGATCAGCCATCCTATAGGCCGATACCAGTTTCACCGCGTCACTGTTATTGGTCAGACTTAATACAAGCCCTTTGGCTTCTTCATCATCTGACTCATCCTCTCCTTCTTCCCATTCCAGTTCCCTCCTCCTATTCTCTGATTCCTCGAATGTGTAGGATCCGGCATTGAGCCTGTTCTTCGAGCTGTGTGGGCCGGTATTCCTATAGGTGATAACCTCAAAGTTCCCACAGGCAGGATCGCACAGGATAACGAACATGGTGCCGTCGTGCTTGTTCATAATGAGCTCCTCAGATCTGCACAGGAACGACCTTCCCAGTAATATTGGAAGGTCCAAGCTGGGCATGACGTAAAAACACGTACGTACCTTGACTCTTCCTATTTCTATCACTACATTTGACGCAACCCCCGTGTATCCGTTCTTGCCGCTGGCTCCATTCAGAAACCCGCAGTCGTTTTCATCTACCTCCAGTCCTAGTTTACTGTCGTTTCTCCATTTATAATGTTCATCTCTGCCCCGGTGTCAACCATCCAGGACACATCTTCCCCTTTACCATAATATCAATGGACCCTGTTCCCACGAACTTCCAATCCATTTTGCTTCCTGCCACGCTCCAGTTAGCCTCTTTGGGAATTAAATCCCCCATTCGGACCGAGGCTACTCTCCGGCGTGATAACCTAGCCTTCACCATCTCTCTTAACTTAGGAGCCGAAGCGAGGATTTCTTTCAGGTTTAGTAGTTCATTGTGCCCCTCCAGCAGTTTATTCACCAGGCCTTCCAGATTCACCCCTTCTTCGATCGAGGTTTGGTACTTCCTCTTCTTGCTTGGTCCCGTATCCCCTTTTGATCTTCCTTCCTTAGCTTCGTCTTTCCTTCTCTTAGCCCTTATCTCCGCCTGCCTTTCTTCTTCCTCCCTAATCTTCTCATCCTCATCTTCATCACCCTCTACCGTGATAGGTGGTTCTTCTTCTGCTGGCTGGGAAGCCTGAGCTTGTTTCTTTTGAGGATTCCCTCCTGCGGGTCTTCTTGTAGCGAATGGAATCGTTCCCCTTATACTTCTCTGACTTCCACTGTTCGTTGCGGCCATATTGGCTCTCAACATTCTCGGGTTGGGTTCATTTGACCCATCTTTTGATCCCCCGCGCCCCATGGTAAATACTTTTGGGCATCTAGCTCCTTCTCTTCCTGCTTCTTCACATATCCCTTGAAGCCTCAGATGTAGCCTCTGCATTTTGTCTACCAAGTCTTCCATCCTATCGAACGTGTCTCTGACGTTATCCCTAACGTCTTCCTCCTCTGTTTCTTCTTCCACCAGCGGCACGTCTCCCTTGTCTTCTCCAATTCTCATCCTATTCACTTTCTCTTCCAAGTTAGTTATATCTTCGACCTGCACTACTGGTTCTTCCCTTTCCTGCCAAATTCGGATCATCCCTGGTGCGTTGGGACCAAACGCGGCCACACGAAGAGCCTCTTCCCTTGTGCCCCCTGGAATCTCATGATCAATCACCCTACCATTTTGGTCGAACCCCTCGCTTTCCATGTTTGATGTTATGAGCCATTCACGTTCGTCAAGCTTTCTAACATTACACCGTTTCACCGTGTGCCCTTTGATCGCGCAATGGGTACAACGCATTCATTGTAATCAATCCACCCCCTGCCATATCCTTGTCCGTTCCATTGTCCGTTTCCTCTACCATACCCCCTTCCATAGCTTTGGTCGTATCCACGATCATACCCTTGTTGGTATTCCTATCCGACTGGATTTGCACCCCCTTGGGGCTGCCCCCAGTTCCCACCTTGGTTTCCACCCCCTCTGTTACCTGCTCCTCGTTCCCCTGGTCCCTGATTTCTACCACCATTCCTACATCTCCCACGTCCTTGTCTGTGTCTCTGTCCTTGTCCTTGTCCTTGGGACCTGTTCTGGTTTTGACCACCCTGGCGACTTGATCCTGGTTGGTTCTGCCCGGTCAGTTGGAGTTGTCCCGCGTTTTGGTTTCCTCCCAAATTCTGATTCTGGGGTAACATGGGATATGGACCCTGCGTAGGCCATGGCCCTACCGGGAAGTACCCAGGCCATGCTCCCATAGGCGGACCCACGGGCCATTGACCATATTGTGTTGTGCTCGTTGACGGCTCCTGTCCATACTGGACTATCGCTTGTTGAGTTACTTGTCCTTTTTCGGAGCCTTGTCCCCCGATAGCAATATTTTTAGCCTTCCTCTGACACTTAGTCAGTTTGCCCGTTCCTTCTGGTCCTTCATCTTCTGCCTCTTCCTCTCCATCTTCCTCTTCCTTTCTTCTCTTTCCTGACGACTGTGTCACTGTTAACACTTTCGATGGTGTCACTCTTTCCCTAAGCTCTTTTATCTCATTTGCCATATTGCTCAACACTCCTCCAAGTACACTATTTGTTCCTTGGATCGTCCCTACTGCCTTTCTTTTCTTTCGTTCGACCTTGATTTGGTGATGGAACACTTGGTCCATGTCTCCCGCCACGATGTTCCTTTTGATGGTTTCCCAAGTTGTCTTTCTCCCGGCGGCTCCCCCTCGAGTTAGTTCCATCGCCTCATACCCAGAGAATTTCCCTAGGAAAATGACGCACTACATCTCTTCAGACAGTCCAGGGACCCTCTCGGCTGTCTTTTCGAACGTGTTGGCGAATGCCCTGATCGTGGTGAAGTCATCTATGTTCATGTTATAGAGATGGTCAATTATGAGCAGGCCATCTCCTAGCTTAAACGTTTTTTGCATACCCCTTTAAACTCAGTCCAATCATTGTTGGACTTCCTCACTACCTCTTCCACTTCAGAGGTGCATTCCCACCATACATACTCGAACAACTGGACGAACTTCTTGGCCGGTGTCAATTGGTTGAAGATTTGCTCAAGCAGTTCTAACCAATGAGTGACCCTATCCCCTTTGAAAGGGAATATGTCTATCCTCGGTAGGTTAGATCTCTTTATCGTTCTTTTCTCTAGCAACTTGACGATTTCTGCCGCGGTGATTGACGGCCCTCCGTTGGCGCTGGAATTGCCCATCTTTCCCCTTTTTCTTTCTTGGTTCCTGCTAGACCGTAGACCCTGTTAAGACACACAAAACGACCATTGATCCACCCTCTCCGTCACTATCTTGACGTATCTTTACTCTTGTCACTTGTTCTTACCCTATATATGACTTATTATACCCCTTTCTCTCAACCGAGTATTTCTTTTAGGGGTACCCAGTCCCCGTGCCAAAAGCTTCTAACCATACCAAATAAAGAAGGGATCTCATCTATAAATTCTTCGATACATGCTTCCCGGCAAAGATTGCGCCAGTAGGTCGAGAGATCCTCAAAATGATGGATGCGTAGGTACGTGTTTACTACGCATAATACGTTATAGAAATCCCTACTCTTTAGTTTCGGTCCCATCTCTAAGTATAGACGGTAAACAACTTCCGATGCCTCGAATTCGAAGCCCATCTCTGGAACTGATTGGGCTGCGAGTACTGCTCGTTCTACATTCTCAATCCCCCAGAATGCTTCATCAATTATGAAGCACGAAAGCGTGGCTTTAATATACCTTGTTGGATACACGAATTCAGAGGTTCACTTTGCTTCGATTGATTTTATAACTTCTCCTTCTTCTCCCCAATACATTCTCCTTGAAAATGCGTCAAGGACCGATCCGGCAATCAATACATACTTAGAGATGGGGTGGTTTTCCCCTATCGCAAGATCGATCGCGTGTGCTCTCCAGAGAAGGGCCGGTAAATAAAGTGTCACTTTTACTATTGTCTGTCTTTCTCTCGTGGTCCACCCAGTTTCTATCCAAAGGAAGGCTTCTTGTCCTATTGGTATCCCGCACCATGAATCCATTTCCTCATCCATATCTATTGTCCTCTTCGGCAGTGTCTTTTTGACTCCTCCTTCCTTTGGCTCTGGCAAGTTGATCAGGAAGCTCCGATCAGCGAACCACATTAAAGGAGTCATCCTGGTTTACCTGTTACAACAGCCAAAAAAAGTACCTTTCTCTTCTTAGTAACTGCTCAATTTCCCCATTTCTTGACAATTTTCTATCTCAGTCTCCCTTGAGCACCCCTTTCTATTTGATCGAGGACCCTCTGCTTCAGTTCTTCCCAGTAGACATGCCTATTTCCCTAATCGTACTGACGTGCATATGAGTCGACCCTTGATAGTACGTCTTGAGGGTCCCTTCCTTCAATCAAGTGTCCTATCTCTAGGTATATGTAGTATACCAGCAGAGGGGTAAATGCGTGATATTCTCTCTCAGGTACTGCCATTGCGGCTTCCGCAGCCCTTTCCACTCGAGTCTTCCCTCCGAAGGTTGCATCTACGATAAACATAGGAAGGGTCCCTCTCAGATATACTGCTGGTGGAAGAAAATCGTTAGCCTTTCTCACCCTCACAGTTCCTATCATTCCTTCAAACCTATTCAAACTTGCATCTCTTCTCCTAGACTCGAGCGCAGATTCTGCTATCCACAATAGTCTGGAAAGAGATCGATCAGTTCCTAAGACTAAATTTATTATGATAGTTTGCAATTTCTCCGAAGAAAGATACAAGGTAACCCTTTCTACTGCGCGATTTTCGCCTCTAACCCATCCAGACTCGATCCAAATGAAAGTTTGTTCCTCTACAGAAATCCCCCAACAATACCCCGTCTCTTCGTTCTCCTCATGACGACTTGGCAGATTCATCATCAGGCCACGCCTCATTTGCACGGGCTCTCTGATCGTGATTTGATATCGGGCAGAAACCATCTTTTTCTCGTCGGCACAATC